CCGGGCGCGGGGCTCCGGCCGCAGCCATGGAGCAGCGGCTGCGTGCGCTGGAGCGGCTGGCGCGGAGCGAGGCCGGCGGCGGCCCGGGACTCGACGGCCTCCTGGATCTGCTGCTGGGGCTGCACCACGAGCTCAGCTGCGCCCCCCTGCGGCGAGAGCGCAACGTGGCGCAGTTCCTGAGCTGGGGTGAGTGACCCCGACGGGACCGAGGGAGGGGGATTGACTGAAGGACACCCCCCTGGACCCTCTCCCTCATGCTCCACGCCCACAGACCCAACAGCCGGAGCCACACCCCCCAAACGCCTTGAACTGACCCTGACACGTGCCACCGGACCCCGCGGGCCTCTCAGTCACCTGCTCACCTTACCCTCACTCAGATTCACACACATGCTCTTCGCCTTCCCACTCGCAGACCCTGGCACGTGTACACAACACACATCTCACACAGACTCACAGAAACTCGGTCTCTGGTATAGATCCCAGACACAGGTACACAATACATGCTCTGCACAAAGTCACGTCCAGGATTCCTTGCTCACACATCACACACCTCGTGACCCATGAGAACACACTCTCACATACGCAGACTCCCATGCACGTCACACACTAACACACATGCTTTCTCGGTCTCCCACATACCACACAGATGCACTGAGACACTAATATGCAGCTCATGGAGATACCCAGGGAGCCCCACACTTCGCCCTGCAGACCACCCCAACCACACTGGCTGTTACACGCTCGTCTGTTTCCACTCACATATCTGTAATTATTGCACACTTCCGCCCCTTCCCCACACACACACTTCCATTTCCCTGCATATAAGACCACCCCAGGCTGGATATAGGAACCAAACTCAGCCCCTTTGTGTAGGCTGCTGGCCAGGCTTCCTGAGGGCTGTTCCCGAGGGCCAGGGAGGGGGGCCTGGCTGGAGGTGGGTCTGCACCCCTTCCTGGTTGACTCATCTGAGTCACCGGGAGTGGCTGGCCTGGGGTGACCCTGAATTCAGTGTGGGCACTGGCGCCAGCCCCAGGGCTCCCTGGTCACACCCGGCCAGGCCATGGAGGGAAGGCACGGGGCCTGGCCTGGAGGGTGGGTGAGGCAGGTGTTTGCCCAGTGGGCGACTGGCGTTCCTGGCACTCCTGAGCTCTGGGCAGGCGCAAGGCCCAGCCTGGCACAGTTGGGCACCTGAGACATGCCAGTGAGTTGGCCTCCAGCCCCAGCCCTTCCTTCCACGGTGAGGGCAGTCAGAGGCCCCTGCCTCTGCTGCTGGCCCGTCTCCCCAGACTCCTGCACCTTGTGTGTGTATCTGACTGTGTTGTCATCACCCCCTGTGACACCCACACCCACGTGTGAGTGTTTGCACACACGTGTTCCTCCCTGCCTGCCTCCGGCACCTTTGCCTGGGACCCCAGCGTGGGGGCCTGTCTGTTGACATCTCCCGAGGTAACTTGCAGGGCGTTGACTCACTCTCTGCCCCGACTTGTCCCCACTCCTGCCCAGAGTCCCCATCCCCTGGGGCAGGGCGAGGGGACTGGGCCGCCTGTCCTGGGGGTCTGGATCTCCCAGCCAGGGGCCCTAGGTTTGGCCCCTGCCTGGCCGATGGGTAGCTGCCTTAGCCTCAGTCCCCCCTCGGAAGCCTGTGGCTGCTCCTCTCGGCTACACACACAGACCTGGGAAAGACAATTAATTTCTGTAATGAGGTTTCCACCCCTGCTGCGGGGGTTCTGCCTGATAAACCTGTGGAACAGCTCTCCGTCTCACCCACAGACCTGCCCAGCTGGCAGGGAGTTTACCTCCTGGTGGGGGAAACTGAGGCAGGAAGCCAGACTACAGCCACCCCCAACCCCTACTGGTCACTCTTGCCTCCCTAAGTTTCCAGGCCCCGATTTTCTCCTTCAGGCCTGCAAAGGGCCTGGGAGTGGCTAGAGATGCCCCTCATGGAAGTATGAGGGACTGTGAGGAAGGAGGAGGTTCTTGGCCCGGTGAAGGCCAAGTCCAGAGAGGAAGGCAGGGCTCGGAGTTGTAGGGCTGGTCAGGCCTGGAGGAGGTCCCGAGTGCTCACACGCTCTGGTGCCAGCATCAGGCGCCAGGGAAAGGCTTTTTGGCCCTGTGTTTGAGTCTTGTGAGAACCTGGGCAGACCTACCTATGCCTGCCAACAAGGAGGCCCCACACAGGGCCCTGCAGAACCACTGTCCTACCTGTCCTCCAGGGCGGCCCCAGGCCTCACCTCCAGCCAGGTACTTCTGTGCCTACAGGGTCCCAGGACCAGGGCCCATAGCTCCTCAATGGCAGAGAAGCCTCTCTGGGGACAAGGAATGTTGCCTGTCCAGTTTCCCAAGACAGGCCCTGGCCTGGTCTTGCTAGGTGGCCAAGAACTGTAAGCTGGGGGTGGAAATGGTATCCCCATCGGCCCCAGGGTGACCTGGCCAGCCAGGGTCAGCCCTCAGGCTGGGGAGGACTACAAGTTCCATCAGCACCTGGGATCCAGGCTGCCTGAAGCCTGGAGACAGGGGTCCAGGGAGGTCTGGGGACAAGGGGGTCAGCAGAATCAGGAATCCACCTTGCATGCTTCCTGATCATGGCTGAATGGGCTGCAGTGCCCGTCAAGCCCTTGGCCAGAGACCGTCCCTGGGGAGGTCATCCTTGCCCTGGCACGTGGGAGTTGCAGCTCCTGGCTTTCCCAGGTGAGAAGCTGGGGCCCGCCTCGCAGATGCCCTGAGCCCCACTCTCTGTCCCCTCAGCCAGCCCCTTCGTAACAAAGGTGAAGGAACTGCGGCTGCGGAGAGATGACTTTGAGATCTTGAAGGTGATCGGCCGAGGGGCCTTCGGGGAGGTGAGCAGAGGCCCTGGGGTAGGTGGGAGGAGGATGTTCATGCCCAGCTGTGCTGACCGCAGTTTTCTCTGTGGCCGCAGGTTGCCGTGGTGAGGCAGAGGGACAGTGGGCAGATTTTTGCCATGAAAATGCTACACAAATGGGAGATGCTTAAGAGGGCCGAGGTCAGTTTGGGGCCTGGTGGGACTTTGGCACCCTACAAATGGGCATGGGGAGTTGTTGCCTGTGAGGCTATAGGGCATGCAGAAGAAGGGGCTGGCATGGTTGCCAAACAGGCAGAGGATCCACCCTCCGTAGCCGTCCACTCCCCCTTCCCTTCTTCACAGTAAGCCTTTCTTAGAACCATGCAGAGTTTTTCCCATTTTTCTTGTGATGATACCGAGGCCCAGAGCCATAAAGCGTGGGCTCGGGGTCATACAGGTCTGAGCTCACACGATCCGAGCTCCTAGACTTACAGAGTCGCACTCCAGGCCCTGAGCTGATGTGGGGGCTTTCCTGGGCTCTGATCCCACCCCACCCTCTGCTCCCCAAACCTGCTATAGACAGCCTGTTTCCGGGAGGAGCGGGACGTTCTGGTGAAGGGGGACAGCCGCTGGGTGACGGCTCTGCATTATGCCTTCCAAGATGAGGAGTACCTGGTGAGGATACTGGGCAAGGTTGGAGGGGGGTTGCCTGGGGACATAGAAAAAGCCCTTGGGTGCCAGAGGCCCTGGGTCCAAGGAGAGAGAGAGAGAGATCTCTCCTGGGACCAATAGGCTTGTCTTCCCCACCAGTTCAAGGGCCTGGAGCCTCCTGCCCGATCTCTGGCTGGGAGCTGGCTGCCCCCGAGCTGCTGGGAGGCACAACCCTGCTGCCTCCCAGAGCTCTGAGGGACCAGTGGGAAGTGGGGCCCTGGGGCAGGTGCCCCACTTTTCCGTCTGATTCTTACCCCCGCCCACCACCATCCAGTACCTGGTGATGGACTACTACGCCGGTGGGGACCTCCTCACTCTCCTGAGCCGCTTCGAGGACCGCCTCCCGCCCGAGCTGGCCCAGTTCTACCTGGCCGAGATGGTGCTGGCCATCCACTCTCTGCACCAACTGGGTTACGTCCACAGGTTGGCCTGCAAAGCCCCCTCTGCCCCAACTAGCCCCTGCTGACAGCTCTGGTGACAGTTGACATTTGCTGAGCACTCACCATGTGCCAGGCCTGTCCCGGGTGCTTCATACGCATGATGCCTTTGAATCCTCACACCAAAAACCTTATGTGATGGGGGCCGATATTGTCGCATTTTACAGATGAGGAAGTCAGGGCTTAGCACAGGTAAGCACCCGCCTGGCTCAAGGTGACAGCTGGTGGGCGGCCGAGCCATGGTTTGCACTAGGGAAGTCTGACTCTCGCATCCCCCACAGCACACCCTGCTGCCTCCAAAGGCTGTCCTCATGGATCCCTTTCCCCAGTCTAACCACCTTCTTCCTTCCTGGCCACCAGGCTTCCCCCTCCCACGTGCATGCACACATACTGCTTGTGCGTGCACTTGCTCATGCACACACACCCAGGCATGTGCCCCAACCACATCCACGTGCACAAGTCAGACCCCTCGCGTTCCCTGCCCCTCTCCCCCAGGGATGTCAAGCCGGATAATGTCCTGCTAGACATGAATGGGCACATCCGCCTGGCTGACTTTGGCTCCTGCCTACGTCTCAACAACAGCGGCATGGTAAGGACTCCCACTCCAGGGTGGGGCAGGGGACACCCAGCCGGGAGAGCTCCCAGAAGCCTGGAAGGCACCAGGCCTAGTGCATCAGCTCCCAGAGAAAGGAAAGACTAGGCCCAGGCCCCAGGTGGGAGCCCCAGGCCAGCCAAGCCCTCGGGAGTGGGGGTGCCAGGCCCGGACCCAGGCTACGGCGATGGGCTAGCAGGCCCAGCCAGGTCCAAGGCTGTCCTCATGGCGCCATCAATACCACCACCCACAGGTGGACTCGTCGGTGGCAGTGGGGACGCCCGATTACATCTCCCCTGAGATCCTACAGGCCATGGAGGAGGGCAAGGGCCACTATGGCCCACAGTGTGACTGGTGGTCGCTGGGTGTCTGTGCCTATGAGCTGCTCTTCGGGGAGACGCCCTTCTACGCTGAATCCTTGGTGGAAACCTACGGCAAGATCATGAACCATGAGGTCTGGCCGCCAGGCTCCAGGGTTCTGGGAGGGGAGCAGGACTCCTGAGTCCGAGAGGTTGATGATGCCCGAAAGTGGGGGGTGGGATCCCGGATACCCACCTGCACTCCTCCCCTGGGCCTGCAGGACCACCTGCAGTTCCCCCCAGATGTGCCTGATGTGCCAGCCAGCGCCCAAGACCTGATCCGCCAGCTGCTGTGCCGCCAGGAGGAGCGTCTGGGTCGCGGAGGACTGGACGACTTCCGGAACCACCCCTTCTTCGAAGGCGTGGACTGGGAGCGGCTGGCGACCAGCACCGCCCCCTATATCCCTGAGCTGCGCGGGCCCCTGGACACCTCCAACTTCGACGTGGATGATGACACCCTCAACCATCCGGTGAGTGGCGAGTCTCACTGCAGTAGAAAAGCTTCCTTGGCACCCCTTGGCTATAGGAAGAAGCTCCCTAGAAGTTCCCCAAAGTGGTTGCTGGGCTGGGGGTGAGGTCTTCGAACCCCAGAGGCTTGTTGGAGTTATGGTTCACCTGCCCTCAGGTGGGTTGTACCAACGAGGGTCCTTTAACCTCGTGTTATCCTATTAACCAGAGTCGTATGAGGAAGAGGACTCCCAGCGGAGTCCTCAAGGACTCATGGGAAACGCCCATTTAGGTGAGGGCCATGTTACCCACCTGGGTTCCCACTGAGCAGGAGGAGGCTGGCACTCCCAGTCCCAGAGTGTCTCCTGGGTCCCACCTCAGCCTGGAGCTGTGCCTGTTGACTCAGAGACTTTCTCAGGCCACCACCTACCATTTGTGGGCTTCACCTACACCTCTGGCAGGTAAGTCTAGTCCTCAAACACCTGGTGGGAAGCTACGGGCCGCCTGGCCTGGAGGATGCTGGAAATGTAACCTGCAGGAAGGACCCTGGGAAAGGGGCTGAATATCCCATCTGATCCCCGCATGTGACAGCTGCTCAGGAAGTATGCTCTGAGCTCTCAGGGCAGCCCCCCGCATCCTCAGGGTCCTAGTAATGCCACACCCATGCCCCGTTTGGGTCCCACCCCAGAAGTTGGCCCTCTCAGTACCCTCTGCGGCAGGCTGGGAGGGTACTGGACTCGGAGCCAGAGACTAGCAGTGAAAGGGCTCCCACTGCTCCCTGAGCTTCACCTTGTGCCTCTGTAAAGTGGGCGGCACGATCCGGTTCCCCCTGTGGGGCTGGCCTGAAATGCAGCGAGGTCCTGAGGGGAGGCGCTCCGAGGTATAGGCAAACACATCTGACCGGCACTCAGGAGTGCCCACTGAGCGAGGGGCCAGCAGGGCCTGTTGTCACTTCCATTTTCCTGTGATGAAACCGAGGCTCAGATATGTCAGGTGACTGTTCATGGTCACACAGCATGTCAGGGCCAGGGCTGGTGCTTGAACCTGGGCCTGCGGAACCCCGGAACCACTGTCCTGGGTAGCTGCCCTTGGTACCAGCCTGGAGCCTTCCAGGGGCAGTGTCTGGTCTGATTTATTTCTCTTCTCAGAGCCCAGGGCTGGGTACAGAGCTGGCACACAGTGGGCGTTTCTTGGGTGAATGAATGATTAGATGCAGGAGAATGGAGGTGGCTTTGGGGGTGGGGTCTCTGCCAACCCGTGTTGACCTGCTTTCCCCAGTCCAGGCCCTGAAAGCAGCTCTGAGCAGCTGGCTGCCCTGGAGCGGAAGCTCCGTTGTCTAGAGCAGGAGAAGACGGAGTTGAACCGGAAGCTTCAAGGTATGGGGAGCCAACTGGCCAGGGTGCGTCTGACCCAGGGGCTGCTGCCTCAGGACTAACTGCGCACTTGTGGGTCCCCCCACTGCAGAGGCCCTGCAGATCTCCTCAGACCATCGGGAGCTGGAGCAGCTACAGAAGGAAGTGCAGACTCTACGAGACAGGCTGTCAGGTATCCCCACCCACCCCTGCCCCATCTCTTCCCCCTACCCTTACCTTGGAGGCTGGCCTGCTTTCCCAGCACACCTGAGTCCGGCCTGGGTTCCAGTCCTGCTTCTGCTGTACACATGCTACATGAGCTCAGGGAATTATCTTAAACTCTGAGCCTGCACGTAGAAAATGGACCAAGGAGACCCACCTCTCAGGCTGTAACGAGGGTTTTGTGAGACACTGCACGTGAAGTGCCTGGCTGAGGAGGCTGGGGCAGTCAGTATGTGTGGGTCTCAGTGACAATTCCTGGCAGAGACGCTGATGGCCAGCAAGGCCCCCTTGTCCCTGACAGATGGTCCTCCTGCTGGTAGCCTAGGCCAGGACAGTGATCTACAACAGGAGAGAGACCGACTCCTCCAGGTGAGGGCCTGGTGAGGTGGTCAGTGGCCCAGGGCTCAGTGCGAAAGAGGTCCTTGCCCTGACTTTTGGCCTTGTCCTCCCTACTCCCACCCCGATCCCCAGGAGCTGGCTGAGGCTCAGGCAGGGCTGCGGGCTCAGGAGAAGGAGCTACGTAGAGCCCAGGGGAGGCAGGAGGAGCTGCTCCAAAGGCTGCAGGAGGCCCAGGAGAGAGAAGTGGCCACAGCCAGCCAGACCCAGGCCCTGAGCTCCCAGCTGGAAGAAGCCCAGGCTGCTCAGAGGGAGGTGAGTGACAGGGGTAGGTGGGGACAGCAGTAGGGCCCGGCCCATGAACCCTGGCATAGCTAGAGGGATTCCAGGGAGCTCAATTCAGGGTTCTGGGAACAGCACGTGCCTTTGCGCCCCCCACTGCAGTTGGCAGAGGCCTGAGCATCGGGATGATGGTTAGGGTGGGGCGGGCTGGGGGGTTCACCGCCTCCATTCCTCCTGTGGCCGACAGCCCAGGAGTCTGCAGGAAGGCCAGGGAGAGGGTTGGGGTGAATGAGGTCAACACTGGCTGCCTCTGTACGCCATCACAGCTGGAGAGCCAGGTGGCCACCCTGAGCCGGGAGGTGACACAGCTTCAGAGACAGCAGGAGCAGAACCTCGAGAAAGAGTCTCCCTGGGCCGAGGTAGTGAGGTCTACCCCCCGCCAGGTGGCACATCCCTTGGCCTGACCCCACTCAGGGCCCTCAGGTCCAGGCTTGTGCCCCAGGGGTAGGGCGGGCCATGGCTTTTCGGACTCCTGCATGACCCCTCTTCATGTCCCCAAGACCGTCCACTCTGCTTCTGAGACCAATGGTACAGGATTGCCTGAGGGTGGGCCCCAGGAAGCCCAGCTGCGGAAGGAGGTGGCAGCCCTGCGTGTACAGCTGGAGCAGGCCCGTGGCCATGGGTGAGCTGGGCAGCTCGGGCGGGGGACAGGGTGAGGGCCCAGGCTGGGCGTCACTGAGTCACCCTCTTCTCCCCAGGCTCAGTGGGAAGGAGGAGGCCCTGTGCCGGCTCCAGGAGGAGAACCGGCGGCTGAGCCAAGAGCAAGAGCGGGTGAGCAGGGCAGACAAGAGGGCAGGACAGATGGCCAGGCAGTGGGACAGAGCAGGGAACACGGCAGGGTGGCCGGGCAGAACTGCCGGGTCCCGGGGCTGGCTGTCTTCCTCACCCTGCAGAGCTCACAGCAGGCAGGCAAGCTGTAGTGGGTGAGCAAGGGTGGACACGGGCAAGGCTTCGGGGTGCTGGAGCCCCTGGGGACTGACCCCACCTCCCACCCGGCCCCCAGCTGGTGGAAGAACTGGAGCGGGAGCAGCAGAGCCGGCAGCAGCTGGAAGGCGAGCGGCAGGAGACCGAAGGCAACTGGGAGGCGCAGATAACGGACATCCTCGGCTGGTGGGTGCGGATGGGCTGGGGGCTGGAGTGGGCCCACGTAGCACTGAGGGCCCAGCCCGTGACTCTGAGTCCCCTTCCCAATCAGGGTGAATGATGAGAAGGTCTCAAGAGGCTACCTGCAGGCCCTGGCCACCAAGATGGCCGAAGAGCTAGAGTCCTTGAGGAACGCGGGCACCCAGATGCTCCCTGCCCGGCCACTGGTGAGCCCAGAGATACCCGGGGTGGCGGGGGTGGGGGGCGCTGCCGGCAGCCTCACTCCGCAGGTGAGGACACAGCTCACGGAAGATCAGTGACTTACCAAAGCTCACAGTGGGTCAGTGGCAGAGCTGGGGCTTCGAGCCTAGCCAGGTGGCGTGGGTAGTGGTGTGCTCCGGTGGGAGGGGCCGTCTTACATGGGTGCCGCCTGGCCACCAGGACCACCAATGGAAGGCAAGGCGGCTGCAGAAGATGGAGGCCTCAGCCAGGCTGGAGCTTCAGTCGGCGCTGGAGGCCGAGATCCGGGCCAAGCAGGGACTGCAGGAGCAGTTGACACAGGTGCAGGAGGCCCAGCTGCAGGCTGAGAGGTGAGACCAGGAGCAGGTGCCTCAGTGGGGATCTGGGACCGGTGCCGCGGCCTGTGGCAGGCCCTCACCGGGTTCTCCCCCAGCCGTCTGCAGGAGGCTGAGAAGCAGAATCAGGGCCTGCAGCAGGAGCTGGCTGCACTTCGGGAGGAGCTGCGGGCCCGTGGGCCGGGAGGTGAGTGGCTGTCTGCATGCCTGTCCGGGAGCTGACCCCCAGTCCAGCCTCAGTTACCAAGGGGGTAGCACGCAGCCTCGCAGGGCTGTGGAGACAAGAGTTTGTTCCAGACTGCCACGTACTTCACCATCTGTGAGCACCTGCTGTATGCCATGTCCCCCACAAACACCAAATACTGCAGCCATTGCCCCATTTTACTGAGATGGAAACTAAGGCTCCTCGGTACCTTGGGAATAAGTGTTAGAGCCTGGCCAGGGACGCCAACCCTAGTGACCCATACGCTCTGTTTGCAGACAAGCCCTCAAACTCTCTGATTCCCTTCCTGTCTCTCCGGAGCTTAGAGGTAAGAACTGGGTACAGGGGCTGGTTGGGGAGGGATCCTGGGGAGAAGCACAGGGGCCTTGTCTTTGCTCCCCAGCCCGGTCCCCAGAAGGATGCCTCCAAGGACCCTGGCATCTCAGGAGAGGCCCCGAGGCCTGGGGTAGAGCCACAGCTGAGGCCAGAGGGCCGCCGCAGCCTGCGCCTGGGGGTAAGGACCCATGGGAGACCTGCAGCTGGGGGGCACCCTCTGCCCACATTCTTCTTACCTGTTCGCTTGCCCTCTCCTGCAGGCTGTGTTCCCCAGAGCACCTGCTGCTCCCACAGAAGGTCCTCCTGCAAAGGTCAGTGCCTAGCAGGGTGGCATGGGGCGGGGGCACCACACCATTCTGCTTGGTTTCCAAGGGCCCTCTTGGTTCCTCCATGTGCATCATGGCTGGCAGACCACTTTGGGGGTGGCAGCGGTGGCAATGAGTTTGAGTGCTCCCACAGACTCACTGGGGCTCGGAGTCCACGCTGCCACCTGGCTCATTCCCTAGTTCCACCTGTCACTTGAGGTGGCCTCGGGGGTGGGGCTTGGGGCCCTGGGAGGCTGCAGTCAGACATGAGTAACGGCCATGTCCCCCCTCCCCAGCCCGGCTCACACACGTTGCGCCCCCGGAGCTTCCCATCCCCCACCAAGTGCCTGCGCTGCACCTCGCTGATGCTGGGCCTGAGCCGCCAGGGCCTGGGCTGTGATGGTGAGACCACCCCCCCCACACACCCATTCACCTGCCTCCCAGGCACCAGCCACAGCCCCTAAGTGTCTGGAACAAAAGCCACCCCAGCCGATGCCGGC